TAATTCCTCTGAAGACCTGCCCTCAAAAGGCTCTAATTGGTTGGCTTAATAATGTTCTGTGATTCACAGCAGATCAGCTCCACATCACCAAAAAGCATCTATGTTATAAGATTACAGTGCCTCTGGCCACGCCCTAGGGCTGCACGATTCTGGCTAAAATGAGAATCGCAATTTTTTGGCCTTGAAATAAAGATCACGATTTCTCACAATTCTGTAGATATAAAATAATATAAGTGGGCTATAATAAACGTTATTCACAAAGATTTGGTAAAACAGCAATAAGTTTTGTATACCTCTACTGTTGGTCAAAATGTTAAATTTTGTATAGATTTGGAATGGTGGACTTGAACAGACTTTAGATTTGTCCTGGTCATTAATGCTGATGATAATTCTGGTGTTGAATTATTGTGTTTGAGACATATGCTTACAATCTGTAATATCCTGCTTAAAATCTGTCACTGCTGTGATTTTCGCGAATACAGATGACTGGGTGGGTATTTTTGTATTTCGGTTGGTTTTAGATACTTTTTAGGCTTTTCATTCGTAAGCGCGCGCGTGCGCCCATCCTGTCTGTGTGATTTTGCGGTCGCATATACATTACATGAAGACAGAAATGACATTTTTGGAGTGAATTGTATCTTATAAATACAGCATGTGACTCTTTCAACACTATTTGGAGGTGTCCACGTTGCTGAACAATGTATATAAAACAATGTGAAGACTTGTGCGGCCACCATTGCTTCTCTCCTGAACTTGAAAAGATGATTGACAGAATTGTAGAAATGCTGGATTAAGATTGTCTAGGGGCTCGAATCGAGATCGCGATCTTTTTAATTGTGCAGCTCTACCCCGCCCCTTGACTGTGTGGGGTGCATGTGTGTAACCTGAAGGGTTTATGACATCATTAACCCGGATCTATTTTTTTGTAGTCCCCAAAGTTCTTTCACTGTAAGCTTCACTAAGCTAAAGGCTCGTACACATGGAACACTTTTCATTTGCATTTATCGTCAACGTTTTACAAGACGTTTTTCCGGATTCAAACCCAAGCGATATTCACTGGTGTCAAGCAGAAGAGTATGCAAAAATCACTCCTTGGCATTACATCACAACTTTAAGCTACACAACTTTAAGCTTCTGACACCCTGCTTATAACACAGAAGAAGAGGAAGAGAGGAAGTTCACCGATTGTTGGTAAAGTTACTGGTGACTCAAACAAGCATGGATGGTTCAAGTTGCAGCTCCAGTGATGAAGAAATTATTAATTGTTCATAGACCAATAAGCAGCTCCACGTTTATAGCGCCTCTGGGCTTCTTCTTTAATGTGCGCTTTTATTCTGTGGACGTGAATAAAAGTGCCAATCTGATTGGAGGAAAAGGTTTTGAAGCAATGCGTCAAACCTAAAAAAAACAGCATGAGGCGTTTCTTTAAAAAAATTATGCTTTTACGCCTGGCGTTTTGCACGTTGGTGTGCACGATTACATTGGCGCCCTTTATTTGGTCACAAGGTGTTAAACCGCGACGGAAAACACGAGCAAAAAACGTCCAATGTCTCCCTTTGCATTGAATTTTGAGCGTCATACATTTAGATATGTTGTTTGTGTTCACACAGCTACATTACACGTAAAGTTTAAATTATGATCTCCTAGTGGAGCACCCCCTTAAATATTAATTTAAAAAAAAATCACACAACATAAATAATATTCATATATCCCACTTTGATGCAAATCTGCTTCATCTATACGTTGCTTTCAACACTTTGCTATGCAGCAACTATAAAAGTTCAAGTCTTTCCATCTATTTTCCAATTATCCTGGTGATTTCATGTCTTCCAACTAAAGTGGAGGGTGTTCATTATACATGAAGTAGAAGAAAGGAAAAAAGATGTCTTTCGAACAGAATCAGATCAGATAGTATTTAATTGTGGCTTTTATGAGTTGTGCTTTAATGCTATTGTTGCAGACTGGTTTTATCCAGCAGATAAGGCAGCGCGCTTTCAACTCTGATTTACACTTTCTGACGCCGCCTGCCTTTTTCTGCTACCACAGCACAAAAAGTGCTTAGTGTTCCTTCCTTCTGAGGAGAAATTATACTAGGCAAAAAAATTTGAATTTAAAATCAAAAGGCGGCTGAAAAGTTGCTCATGAGATACTTAAGAAGTGACTGTGGTGTACTGATGGACATGTTTATCTGAAGAGGCATCATGGATCCCCTTGAAAAGTGCATTACTCAAGGATGATAAACGTGAAAACATTACATTCAAGTATTTTAATCCCTGCTCATTTTTTGGTTTCTGATTAGCTTTACTTGTCTTCCCTAGCGACCTCTGAGAATGACAAGAAAAGTGTCCTCTGCGTTTGTCTCTGGTATAGGGCTCAGAGGACATCACCCCCACAAGACGAGCTCGGCCCGGGTCGACGGCCCCCGCTGCCTTTCTCCTACAGCGTAACAATGGCTGCCCTCTGCGCTCTAGGGTGGAGGGCGAACTGATCCTGTTACACCATGACAAGTACCACAATCCCCCATTGAAGAGCACATATTCTCCCCCCTCTGCCTACACAAGAGCCAAGCCTATTCATTGCATTGTTTTCTTTCCAGCACATGACTTCTGCGTTGGACCTCAGCAAAGTCAGGTGTTCGAATATGACCTGGAAACCGCCGATTGCCCACACACTACGTAGCCCAAGTTCTTTGGAGTGCTTGCATTCGATATATAAGAAGCCCCGAGTGAATCAATTGATCTAGCACCGATGTTGTAGCTTTCTATTGGGGTTAGAGAGACTAAAACCAATTATCTGAAATGTTATTTCTGCTGAACAGTGCAGAAGTCAAACTTCTGGGTCCCAGAGCACAGGGCATAGTGAATTAGATTTCAGGACCTTGTCTGTAAGTCTGCCAGAAGTAGGGTGCGGGCATCCAGAGGAGGATGTGGAGGGCTAGAGCTCTTCAGAACATGTGGTTCAGGGAGGAGCCATGCAGACGTATGGCCCCACGGCTGTTGCGCACATTAATCATGTTTGGAGTACGAGCGGAAGGGAGGGGATGGGGTAGCCCCATCTCTGCATGTTTGCATGTCTGCTGCTGCACTGACGTGTTCACTGTCAGTCCCAGAGTCAGGGAGGGCTGGAAGACTAATGAGGTGCTTCTCTTTTTCTCTCTCGCTCTTTCACATGTCTCTCTTGCCCTCCAGAGGAGGGCGGCTGGGGAGGTGGGGAGCAGGGGATGACAGGTTGGTTATTTACTCTGCCTTTCATATTTGCCTTTTAGTTCTGTCGTTTTCCCCCTCTCTCCTCCAACCATTTTCCTGCAGTCATCTGTTCACTCAGCTGCCTGCGAGAAACCGGTGCCTAATGGGCCATATCAGCACAGCCACTGCAGGGAAACATAGGCCTGTCATTAGGCTATATTGAAAAAGAAGCCAGTAGGCAGGGAGAGGGGGAGTCAGAAGGCCATTGATATTTATATTGTGGACACATATCCAGGGCACCAAGATCAGCATGTGACGCCTTCCTGCAAACCCTGCTTTGAAAAAGGAGCTATCAATATTTCATCAAGAAATTCTTTTTAAGGTTGAAAAAAAGAGAGGTGGTCCTGTTCGCATGATTTGGGCGTACAAATTCAAGGCTGGCTAATGAATACTCCTTGTATTATTCAGTAGCCAAACCATTTTTGTCCCTCATATAAGAGTAATGATTGACAGAGAGAATGGGGATGGAAATACTTGATGGTAATCAACCATAATAGAGAGCGCAGCGATCTGCAACAGCATGAACATGCCCATTTTCTTCCATTCTGATCACATGTCGGAGAACATAGCGTGCTAAACACCAGCAGTGATCTTGAGGTGGAGGAAGATGTTCTTGTGAAAGTCATCTCGCTCTCTCTGATGTACTGCATCATACGTTTTGTTTTCTTTTTCAGTGTTAACCACTTAGATCAGCCTTGCACTATTCACTTCGGTTACTTAAGGGGGAGGCAGGATGTTTCAGAACTGATATGCTGGGGAAAACGCAAGAACAAGAGTCATGTTTTCCGCAAGATATGCAAAGTCACAGTACTTTGTAAGTCAAAGAGAGGTCAAAGCTTTGAGTCACGAAACCAGAGAAAAAGTCCAGAGAGATTAGGACAAAAGACACAATATACTACTGTAGTTTACTTTTGAATCATGTACTGACCTTGCAATGCGATAATCACAATAAATCTTCAATATAGAACGTACTATAAAAACAAACAAAAATACAATGTTTGAGTCAGTTCATCAGTTAAAAGATATTTCCATGTAGGCATGGGACGATAACGGTTTTTAAGGTTTCCCACGATTTACAAAAGTCAAGGTTTTAAAACGGCCAAACAGTTCTGTTTTACCGTTCCCAAGGTAAGTGTAAGATTTTTTTATTACGTTTTTTGTTTGGTGGTTGTTGTTTTTAGGACAACAGTATCTCCATCAGAAAAGATATCCAAAGTATAAGTGTAAATTGTAAAGAAATCTGTGTTGTATAAACTAATGAAAACAGCAAAAGTCTATGATTTGTTTAAATTATTTAGCCCAACATGTTTACAGCTCCAAAATATTTTAAATGTTTCTTAAAATATAATATATTGGCTGTGTCCAAAATCGCCTACTGCTCAGGAGGTACTGCATTTGAATTTAAATGTATTACTCGACTGATAAAAAAAAAAAAAAAAAAAAGTATGACTTTGTATGAATGGAGCTCAGACTTAGTACATCAACCATTTTATCACAATCACATGACACATCCGCTTCACTCTCAATCATGAATTCTCTCGCGGTTCATCATGAGATAGCATAGTGTCCATCGGATGCGCACTTCAGAATCTTGCCGGAAATAGTAGGTCATTCGGGTACTTCTTACGATTTCTATGAATTCGGACATATTACTCGGATCACATACTGTTTTTAGCATACTATATAGTATGGAAGTATGCAATTTCTGACATAGCCACAGACATTTAAAAATATTATATTTTAGAGCACTAATAAAAATATTGTGAAACCATGATATTTTTATCCAAGGCTATCATACTGTCAGAATCGTATACCTGCCCGTGCCTATTCCAATGTCCACATCAAGAGCTCTGACAATCCATCTTGCTGATGTGTATTTAAGCTTTAGAGGGAATTAATGTTTATTCAGGCAAACAGAAAATGACTGTGGCAAATTAGCATAACTCAGTCATTCCACCCTATGGAAAAAAAAGTGAAAACTGGTGCTCATCCTCTTTTGAAAGTGGAGGGAAAAGGCAAGAACAAAAGGCACCTCCGTTAGTGGTGTGAAGGTGTTTGAAGTAGAGAATTCACATACTTCGGAGCTTTAAGCTCAAAGACCCATCAGTCCTTTAAAGACCCCTGCTAGACCTTCCAAGGCCCACTTGAGACAAATAATTAAATGCAAAAATAATGGATGTAGGCTGTGCTAGATTGTAGAAATCTGTGCAAAGGCAACTTGAGGTCCACATGCTCTGTATGCTTTGTTTAGCAAATCTCAAGTTTTTTGTTTGTTCTCAGAAGTCTAAACCTAAAAATGCAACTTCTGGTACCAATTAATGGTATTTTAATCAGATCAAATCTGACCTTTGAACCAGTCAACCCAATAAGTGATCCAAACAACCAGATCCTGCTCGCAGCTGAATAAATATGCATGGTCAGACAGACTTCCACCGTCTTTGTGCAAATATACTTATAAAGGCTGTAAAATTACAGCGAGGTGGTGCCTAGAATCTTACAAATAAATTCATGTGGTGTTTTATCTTTTTTTCCTGATTTTTTTATTCTATTAAACCTCTTTCTTAAAATAATTTTAAATAAATACACGTACCATTATTATTAATTATCAATCCTTATTTTATGTATGCCTTCAAGTAAACACAGCATGATATTCACAGAGAGAGAGACTAAAAATCCTAACCTTTTAATCAATAAAAGTAAATTGATACGCTACTACCCACTAACCGACATGAGGATAAATAAAATGTTAGTTTTTCAATAAAAAATTTAAAATCATGAGGAGTCAGTGATAACTGTGATTTAAGCAGAAAGCGACTAAAAAGTAAAGGTTTTTTAAAACAGACAGGTACAAATCAATAGCATAAAATGAAGCTATTCAATACGCAGAATTAAATAATGGGGAAAAAATGGCTTCAGAATCAATACAAATCACACAGAGACCTTTAAAGCACACAGTACTAATGGTGGGGCCTTCAGAGCACTCGTGTGATTGGTGGCTGGCAACGAGTCAAGCTAAAACAGGAACTGCAATGGAAGGGTTTGAACGGCTAGAGTAAACACACGTATGAAGTGATGGCTTTAAAAAGTCCACAACCTCCCATGTGACATTTGCATAGAAGTTTGCACATTGCTAACTGCCACAGACTCTGGGCCTCTTTCTTTCACCCTCTGGCAGGATATTTGACCTCATCTCCAATACACATTATCCTTCCTCTCTCGTCCAGACTGAGAAAATTAAGTTTCCATGTGAACTGGCCACAAAAACTCCCCGCACACAAAATCTCAGCTGGATGAAAGGCCTTCTGTGGGGGAGGGTAGCTGCCTGAGTGCTGCTTGAGTTTCCTGCACTCCACGTTTAGTGTTACAGCCCCAGATGTAAGGATTTTCCTCCACGTCTTTACAAATTGAAGGTAGGGGCCGTCCTCTATTTTCTGCCTGCCTAAACATAGCATGTCATAGTATATGATTCCATTTCCTCTGCGCAATCTCACCTCCAAACCAATTTTTCCCCCTTCCTCTGTTCTCGCTTGGCTGATTTGCCTTCTCCTTTCTCTCTTTTTGTTTCCTCTGGAATTCTCTTACATTTGTTAGGCAATTACAGCCAAATGAGGCCCTATTAGGCATGTCTGGAGGCCCCTTCTTTAAAGAAGAGCAACTCTCAGCGGCCTCTATCTCTGACAATGACACCCAAACAGAGAAGCAAGCAGGAGGGAGGAAAAAAGAAGAGAAAGAGAGAGAGAAAGAAAGGGGGCACATCCCTCTCAGCGATAAAGTAAAAAAGGTTTACAGCACTTCCAAACGCTTTGAAACATGTGTATCTTGTGTAAATCTGAGCTTTAAAGTCTTGCCAGCCATATTCTGCTCCTCCCTGTGCATAAAAGCATAAAAGTTCCATTAAAGCGACTACTTCATGACGAAATATCGACAAAATAATCAGCCGCCTGTGCGCAGAGATCAAAGAGGTAAAGCTGCTATCATAAGGGACCTTTAACAGCCAGCACTTTTCAACTAGGATTGTGAGGGGCAATAATGCATAATGAGTGAATGTGCATATGCACGCAACACACTGAGTTCCAATAAAATGCAGATAAGCCGCAGCAGGGAGACGAGCTCACACAAGTGCACGCTGCAAGCCCAGCTGCACGTGGGTAGAGTATGGACGGAAACCTTGCCTCTGGCTCAAAATCGGAGCTCCATTTTGCAGAAGCAAAGGCACTGAACTAAACCGATTGCCCCAAACACAGCTGTAAAGCAGATCGGACCAAGTCTGAGGAGTGCATTGCTGATAAACTAAAATCACAGGGTATGGGGCAGGCTGCGGCAAAATTCAAAGAGGGCAAGGTCGCAATTGATTTCAAACCCTGGGTGGGTGCCAAATCCAATGAGGGAATAAAAACACTCGTCACATTTGGTGCAAAACACATATAGCACAGCAATGTACAAGTTTTTCTATGGCCTTACCTTCAAAAACATAATCGTGTATGAAACTGCGTCACTTTATGTTATCAAGCCTGAGCTTAGCGCTCGGAAACGAGGGCCTGATCAAAGTCTCTGACAGGTCTTTTGTCCTGGAATGCGGCGAGTTGTTTTTCACCTTGCTCCAGTCGCCGCTGATTAGCTGACAAGCCGACGAACCACCCTCTCCCCATTTCCAAATTAATTTCCCTCCTTTGATAAAGACAAAGGGGGGAAAAAAGTGTTTAATGGCCGTGTCCTTCAAAACTAAGAGTGCTAATAAGTGTGAAAAGGAGATTTGTTTAAGTGATTTTCTTTGAGACTTGCAGGCATGGAATTAATTACCTTGATTAAATATTGTCTGTACGGCTGATGAAAGATAGAGCAGAATTAGCGGTCCCTTGTTGAACTTGTATGGTGCTGAATGAGATGTGTCCCGATTACAAAGACCAAAATGATGGCAACACTCAAAGGAGACAAAGAGCTAAAAACAGGCCCAGTGACATCACAGAGAAGCCACAGGCCTAATGCTTAATGACGGCCATTCTCCAAACGCTTTCTCATGAGTTTTAAACAATAACATACCCCATTACTAGTTTGTCCACATAACCGATTCAGTTTAAGAGCAGATCACAGATTCTAACTAATGCACTGTTCTGTTATAATACTGCTATGTGTGTGTATTACAAAAGCACTGAGAAAGAAAAAGCCCGTTTCTAAAGTGAATAGCATTGTGTTCAATGGCAAAAGGAAAGTTGAACTCTCCAAAACAACCTGAAGTCTTCTGAGTCACTTGGCAGAGGAGTAACATAACTCAATTCAAAGCTTGCCTGGGTTTTACAGAGGCACTAAGGAAACTGAACAATCTCTCAGTGGCTCTTCTAGCCATAATCCCACCGAACATTTGCCTCCTAAACACAGAATAAGGTTTTGTAAAGGCTTCACATCACAGCTTTGTGCTCCATTGCGAAAAGCTATACTCTTAAACACCCTCCAACCCCCCAAACACACACACAACGACAACCCCCCACCCTTCTGTGAATGAGGGGAGTTTTCTACAGCTGGGTAACAAAGCATGACCCAATAATCCTCAAGCCTGACTCAAAGCTAGAACCTCCTCTCTAAGGACTCTAAGGACAGAGGCTGTGGGCAAGGGTGGGGTGGCAGAATTACACAAACATAAGTGAGAATTAATTATTCTTATCAAATCAGTTTCCTGTAACAAGCTGCCCGCCACTAAATATTTGGGGCAGAAAATTTGACCATTCAGAGGCTAACGATGAATTCAACATCATGCACATCCCGAGGCTTGGGTGTTCCGCTATTGCGATGGCTTCTGGAAAGAGTTCAAATTATGTTGTGAACTTCCTGGCAAACTTCGGAGTAAGCCTGGCTTAGGGTGAGTTCTGGGTTTGAATCTTTGGGAGCTTGCATTTCGGCTAACGTGCTAAGTAAATGTTAAAAGTGGTTAACATTTTGTTGTGGTGCGTTTGGGAGTTTTAACAGAGTCTGAACTCTGACATTTGAGGAGTTAACAGTAAAACAAAAAGGGGCACAAAAAGAGTTTATTCAACCATGCATAAGAGGATCTTGCAGACACACACCCACATGGGCACATTTTTTCGACTACTCATGGTGAAGGACGTGGGTTATTCGCCAATCAGATACACACGTCCAGTTCGTGGTTTGTGTATCTGTCAAAAGAACACAATCTGCACCCACAGAGCAAAACAGAATGCAATTCAACCTGCTTTATCTTACTTATCAAGTGGTGACGTCCCCTCACTGTCAGATGCCTGATCTATCAGGGATCTGTTCTGTTCATTGTTTCTTCTACAATTCAAAAGATTGTGCTTACTCACACTTAAAGGGACAATGTATAAAATCTCAAGCAGATATCAAAAGCGCATAGCACCTACAATCGCCTATTGTCATCAAAATTAAACATTTCAACAACAAACACTTGACAGAACACTATTAAAATTGTATAAACCTATAATACTAGGCCATGGACAGAAAATAGTGATCAAAATAGCCTAGAAACTAAACATAATGATACTGTCAGTTTAAAAACGCAAAATGACTTTAGCTAACGTGGATTTTTTTATGCCATGTGGAAAAGGGGTTACACTGACTTGTGAAGGGAGCTTTTCAAGGTTGCTAAATAAGTGCTCATGTTATTTCATTACAGCTAGGTTATCACGTTTCCACTAACACTGGCCTTTTAAAGGGACACAGTGGATCTTTGTGAAAATAAATGAATCATGGCTTCTTTATTGAATTAGTTATATGTATACTTTCACTACTCTCATAACACCTACAATTATTGGAGATTTGGGGCTTCCTGTAACTGCTATTTCAAGAAAAGAAAGCTTACATTATAGGAAAATCGTGGCTGGTCTCTAGATGACTGATTTTCTGCTTTATCCTGTTAGTACGTGCTATATAGGCTAAATATTTAATATCGTGAATGGTTTTGTTGATCTTAACTAAACCCTCAAGCCTCAAACTGTATAAATACTGTATTTGGCCTTAGAAGAGAAGTGCAATTTTACGACTTAAAATGTGCACTTCATTAATCATTTTGTGCTTTGGAAACAACAAAGGCCTGCGTATTTTTTTAAATCACTTTTTCCTTTCTTTCACGATGGTGTTTTACCAGTATGTTTACTGAAGTGAAGCGAGTGGGGGAGGAAAATGTATAGACATTTGGGCAGCCATTGAAACTGCCTTCGTGCTCTAAATACCGAAGCCTTTTCGAGTTAGTTTCACAATTTTTCGATTTAGTTTCGTTAAATGAAGCTTAAAAAGCAGTGACATGCTTCTGTGGTTTAGAAAAACATCTTTTTATACCGAAAAACTGCCATTCGGCTAACAGAGAAGAACTAGCCCGATGAGACGGGGGTATTGAGCTATTGTGCTGTAGCCTCTACGAGGACAACCCAACGACACATTTAGCCGAATAGTACGGTTTTTACTCATTTTGACGCTTAAACCAAAAGAAAATCTTCGAAAAAAACAACAGGGAGCTAGATAAAGTCTATGCACATGTATTATCTTTCGTTTTACTACGGCAAATACGCGTCCTTTGTCTTGACCAACCAGCAAATAAACAAAAGATATGGGATTTGGATTCAAGCGGATTACCCTGGACTTAATTATATCAAGAGACCCAACAACCGTCAAGCAAACACACGTACACAGAGAATGGCTAATAATTCACCGAAAACAACTTTAAAAAAGAACGTTAGCAACAAAAACAACGCGTTGTGCTACAACAGAGATTCATTGTGACCAGCACGTTAGTCTTTTCTTCCTCGCGACCTGGGAAAGAATGTTCCGTTTCGACAGAGCTCATTGTGTGATTGTTTAAAGACAAACTATTTCGTATCACCATGTG